TATGACACAAGTGAGGCAACACTGATCCCTACAAGAGCTGGAAACAAAAAATAAAAACAGCTGCTATCTGAACAGCGAAATCCAGCAACTCCAACAATGAAGTACAGCACCACAGCAAAACTCTCCTTCAGCAACAAAGCCTGACACTATTTTTGCTTTGCAAGTCTCCCTCAGATTCTGGCTACATAGTGGCAGCCAGTGAGAGGACACATACAGATCCTATGCGCATGTCAGTAAACAGACATCCATCAGGAGATGGATGTCTAAATATGTCATTCCCACTCTACCTGTCCTGATCTGTCAGCTCCTGCCTCAGACCAGGTCTAAGAGTAGAACCTCAAAGATGGATACTTCTGGAGCAGGGGGAACAGGATATGAACCAGGATGCCAAACCCTCCTGGCACACATCCCTTTTACAGGCAAAATGCTCTCCCTTGTGCTACCAGAGCTTTGCATTTCCAGGGAGCACTTCAGCAGGTAAGAGCCAAGTCACTGGCACCCACACGGGACAGGAAGCAGAAGCTGCCTGCAACACCACCGAGTAGTTTCAATAGCAAAGAGCTGGAAAAGCAAAGGCCCCTTCAGCAGAGCTAATACTGAGTGGGAATGCCAGGCACGTGCCTGCCACGCACAGTAGTGCTGCCCACTGGGATCCACCACAGCATGACTACCAGCACCACTGGGACAGCAGAGTTCCCGTTCTCACATGGCAGGAGCCTCATCTCCAGGGTAGAGCCCACGTCACACAGGTGAAACCCAGCCACCAGCAATTATTTACACAACACTGTGCACAGGACCTGCAAGACCTGGAGACTGGTGGGACTGATCTCGAGGTGTGCTGCCTTGTCCAGGTGGGGTCAGGGGAGCTAGAGTAAAGCTGGCGAAAGGCAGTTGCCTCCCACCCTCCAAAAAGCAGTTGCAGTGTCCTCTCCCTCAGGGCCCAGCTGTATCTCTCCCTTGGAGTGTTTCCATCAACTCAGGCCACCAGAGAACTGCGTGTCCAAAAGTTTTTTCCAACTGCATCACATGGTTATTAAAAGACATGGCCTCTCCTTCTCAGCCTTTGGCACAGGCAGATTTGAGTATTACAGGAGAGAATTCACATTGCTAATGAATCAGGGAAGAGAGTTATCCAAGTAACAATCCAGGGCTCTAAATGGCTTTCTGGAAAAGGCATCTGGAGGCAGGAGGCAGTCACCATCTCGCAGCAGGGCTCTGCACACATTGCCAGCCATGTTGTTCCTCCTGGGAAGCCAAAAAGAGTCTCTCCAGAGATGTCAAGTCTGAGCTAAGCTGGGAAGGGCAGGAGTACACTGACAAAGATCAGCAACAAAATGCCTCCAAGTCAAAATATACATAAAAGGCCCCTTAAGCTTGTTTGACCTGGGTTTCCCTTCCCCTCAGACTACTACTTCAAGTAATAGACCTGTCAGCAACTCAGTTCAGGAACTCAAGGATTACATCCTTGAGTTCATCCTCTGCCAGCTGCTGACTTTCCAGACCCCAGGAGGGCTGTCTGAGATCAGAGGTACAAGCTGCTCAGAGACTAGTATGCTTCATTGCCTTTGTCTTCTCATTTGGACAGAGCTTTGGAGCTCTCCTGAAAGGTGTTGGCTTCCAGTGGGATACCATGAGTGAATCAGGCCTTCCATTCTAGGTAGGGCTCATGTGACAGGGACTAAAATACTTCCTGACATGTCTCAGTCTACAGGTTATTTGGAGCAAGTAATAATTTATCCCTAGCTATCCCAAAGTATGTGCTGAGCTCATCCAGAAGCAAAGAAAATACATGGCCAGACCATGGAGTTGGAGCTGAGAAGGGCAGGAAGGGATGTCCCAAGGAGACGGGGCCAGAAAGGCCGCCTCAAGCTTCATGAGAACTGCTCCCTTCTGATCACATTCGGAAAGATCCACATCCCTGAGCTCATATTGCCAGGCTCCTTCCCTCCTGACAGTGGAAGGACAGCAGGAAGACACGAGTGGGGAGAATATCCTCTTCCCACCCCAACTACTGATCTCCCAAGACAAAGCCAAGCATCATTATACTGAGTCTATTCTCCCACATCCTGCTCCCCAGCTCTAACGCTGGCAGGTGCTGTATGAAAACGTCCTCACCCACCCCAGCACCCTGAAGACATGTTTTGAACAAGGCTTACTTGGGATGAACTGCCTTAGACCCATGGCAGTACTTTGCCTGGAGTCCAGCTTCCCAGAAATGGTGTGGTCTGGTGGATCTGAGCAAAGAGTGAGACTCTGGCAGCCAAGCAAGCTGGACTTCAGCACTGTGCCCACAGATGGGCTGGCAGAATGTTTGCTTTTTTTTTGGTTTACTTCTTTTCCTACCATTAGTGCTGAGCCTGCACCCCTCATCATCAGAGCATTGGAACTATTTGGCCTCAGTTATAGCCAGTGGATTTCCAGTAAGCACAAGTCCTCAGCACCCAGACTAACAGTAAGCACTAAGGAAAGAGCTGCTCAATGATCATTCCAGGCACCATCAAGAGAGAAACTAGCCACTCAACCCAGCCTTTCACCTTCTAGCCCCCCCCCCCCACCATGGGCACTGTAAGCCAAGGCAATTTAAGTCCTGCCCAGTCTCATGGGCTTGCTGCTGCTCTGAGAAGCCACCCCTCCTACAGTGCTTCCTTGCAGCCTATTTACCATAAAAAGGCGGTATGATGCTATTCAAACTGTCCTCCAAAATCGTGCACTGTAGGAAAGAGATGAACCAAAAGCGACTTGACAGTGGGTGGGAGGTGGGGGCAAGGGGTGAAGAAGTGGCTGTCAAAATGCTGCTTGCTCAGAGACAGAATAACACTATCTATGCTGTTCAGAGTAGCCCAAGGACTTTGTGCATCAAGCTCACCTCTGGCTGAAGACAAGGTGTCTTTGGCAGTCTCCTAGGCAGCCGGCTCTCAGATTGCTGTCTGGCAGAGCTAGAGCTTCTCCTTGAAGGAGAGCAGCTCTGTCAGTCTGCACTGGATATGCCCCTAGAGTCACCAGCAGCACACACCTACTCTCAGCAAGCTCTGCTCCAGACCTCTGTCAAAGGCTTTGGGTGCTATCTCACCCACCTTTGTCTTACACTAGCAACTCAGCCACCGTGAAAGGCAGAGAAGCTCACAGGTAGCACGGCAGGTAAATGGAAAGTTGGGTCTAATCCATGTGATTCTGACTAAAAAGGTTTGTTTAGCGCCAGACTGCTTGCCAGCAGTATCTCGTGCCCTTTTTGAACTCAGCCTGCTGGAAAACAAACCCTCGGGGGAAGAGGAAAGAGAGATCAGGAAGGATAAAGTGCCTGCCCATGCAACTGTAATTCCCGCCGAGGAAGCCGCAGGCACACACTGTGCCCATTGTGCAGAGGTAACTGGACAGGAGGAAGGAGGGGTAGCTCGGCCCAGCTCTGTGCGCACCCGGGAGCCCTGCGAGAGGCCCAGAAACGCCTCCTGGCCCATGGGTACCGCCGCTGATCTTTGCCCCGTCGGCGTGCGGGGCCAGGCCCGGCTGCGGGCGGGGGCCGCGGGGCGGGCAGGGGCGGCAGCCTGGACTGAGCGGGAAGACGCTCCCGGAGGAGCGGGGGGCAGAGCCGGAGCATGGCACGGAGGGAGGGCGAGAAGCCACGGTACCGGGCAGAGGCTGGAGCCCCCTTCTGCAACAGGCTGCAGCCCGGCGGGCCCTGCGCTTCCTCCCGTCTGCGAAAGGGGGTCGGAGCTGGTGCGGCGGGGCCGTACGAGTCCTGCGTGGGCTCCGGGAGAGCCGCCACTGCACGGCCCGACCCCGGCCCTTCTGCTCCCTCCTTCGGCCCCCCCGACACCAGATGGGGATAGACATTGCCACGTACAGACAATAGGATGGCAGCCCCCTTTCCCGAGGCCCCCCGACCTTTCCCAGCCTCCGGGGCAGCGCCTCCCCCTACCCCGCACCCAGCGGGTGGGCACGGGCCGCTCAGCCCCCCGAGCGGAGAGGGGCTGCCCCTGCCCGGTCGGTCACACCTCACCCTTCCCCACGCAGAGCCCTCGCCAGGTGCAGGGCGACGGCTCTCCACTGCCGGGCAAGCAGCGACCCGGGCACGCCCGCGGGTGCCCATCGGAGCCCCGCCCCGCAGCACGCCCCCGGGACAGGGGCTGCCGTACGCCGCTCCCCGAAGGGTGGCGGTGGGGCAGGCACCGCGCCCGGTGCCCGCGCTCGCTCCCCAGCGCCACCGGGAACTTTTTAAGGGTGCCGCAGCCAGCCCCGGTAGCTCCCCCGGCAGCCCGCACCCTGCCACCCCGGCCCGCCAGACCCACGCGTGGGCAGACGCCGTCCCCGCCGCGGCGCTCAAGGAACGTGTCCCTCCCGGGGGCCCCCCAAACCCGCTCGTACCCCGGCTCCTCACCCTGCGGCAATCGCGTCCCCCGCTCGGGACAACCCCTCGCAACCTCCCCCACGGCCCCAGCCCGCCGTACCTGCCTGGCTGCCGCCGCCGCCGCTCCTTTAAACCCCCGCCCCGCCGCCCATCGCCCGCTCGGCGCTCGGCCCGGCTCGGCTGGCCGGGGCGGGGCGCGGCGGGGGCGGCCCCGGAAGCAGCGCGGCGGCGG